TTCTTTTTTACATAGGGTGGCTGTGAGTTGGAACTGACTCAGTGGCACCTAACAATAACAACATACTATGTTCACACACAAGTGGATATTCTTTCCAAATTCCTTTTTCCGTGAGTCTTCTTTTATCTAGATTAGACATCAAAATACTGCAGTTGGGTTCTTTGGGGTTTTTTTTGTTTGACAGAAACCAGGTTTAATCATCCTGTGCTGTTGTAATTCTGATGAATGACTTGGGTCTGAGTTTTGTAGTGATTTTGTAACCTCCCCATGTACCAAAAGTTGAACCTAGGGAAAAGTCATTGCAGACTGGACACCTGAGTAATATGAGTCTAGCAATTAGACAAATTCTGCCTCCCTACTTTGTTAGTCTCCACATTCTCATCATGGTATCTGATTTGACATCATACCTAGAGGACACAGACGTGTCATCTGCCAGGAAACTAGAGCCGCTAGGCAAACAAGGTCTGATTTGGCTGTGTCACAGGCACCCCATTTTCAGGTAGGCCCATATTTTGTTTTTTCCTCTCAGTGAATAGTGGCTGTCAAATTAAGTGTATGAAACTAGGGCATGGACATTTTTAATGTATGAAAGGTTTGGAAATTCAAATTAGTCAGCTGGAAGTTCCTTTGAATGTTAATGGATTATAAGCCTTCTGCATACTAAAACCAGATATTCTATTTTTCTTCGCTTCATTTAGAAATGGTTTGGGGACTGGAAAAATAACTAACATGACTTGAAAGTAGGATCTATCACCATTGGACCATCCATTCATATGGTTGGAATTAAAGAATGTTTCTTTTCAGCCAGTGTTATAACGAGAGGCATTTTATCACTACTTGTCAAGTATTCATTAATTTATTCATTCACCTATTCGTTCATTCTTTCAGCTATTCATCCAACGTTTGTTGAGCACATATAATGTGCCAGACAGTGGGCTAGGTGGCATTGTAGCTTCAGCATTAAAAAAAAAAAAATTGTTGCTGTCAAGTAGATTCCAACTCACAGTGACCCCATGTACTACAGAGTAGAACTGCTTCGTAGGGTTTTCTTTGCTAAAATCTCTACGGAAGCATAGCCTGCGGCTTTTTTGCCACAGCACCACTGGGTGGGTTTGAACCACCAACCTTTTGGTTAGTAGCCAAGTGCAGAACATTTGTGCCACCCACGGACCCTTTTCAGCATAATCTAAAAATCAAACCCACTGCCATCGAGTCGATTCCTACTCATAGCAACCCCATAGGGTTTCCAAGGCTGTAAATGTATGTGGAAGCAGATTACCACATCTTTCTCCCAAGGAGCAGCTGGTGGTTTTGAACCGCCGACCTTTTGGTTCAAAGTCGATTGCTTTAACCACTGTGCAACTGGCATTAGAATAGAATATTATATAACGATACCAACAGGGAGTCAAACAAAGCCAGAGACTTGTAAAAACAGGTGATTAGAAAGGAAGCAAACAGAATTACTAAGGCAGAGTTCAAGAGGGAATACCAACCAGTACCCTGAAATTGGTCATGACCAGGATGTGGCTGTAAAAATAGGATGGATCGTGTTGGCACAAGTAAAAACCCAAGAGTTAGGGGGAGGATGTCAAAGAGTGAGATGGAAACCCCTGATAAGATTGGAGTCAAGACAACTAGCAGATGCCTTATAAAAGACGGTTTAATTACATTGCCCTCTAACACACCTTTTGTGAGTATCTTGAAATCCAGATTCTTATGTAAACCAAGTCAACTGCTGAGAGCAGTAGTGATGCAAGGATAGATGAGACAGAACCTAGTCATTGGGGAAGCTCATGGACTAGTGGGGAAGCAGATGAAGGGATTGCAGATAGCTGTAGAGTCAGGCTGGTAGAGGGGAGACCAGAAAAGCCTGCAGAGTGGAGATGACACTTGACATGTGGCTTGAAGGATGACAGTCATTTTTCTCTTGAAAAAAGTACTGGGAAATTGATCTAGAGAACAATGGGCAATCTTGCTCAAAAGATACAAACTCCCTGTGATAAGAGTTCTTAATATTCAGAATGTTCCTGATGCCTGTGGACTTTTTTGGCATCATACCTGGGGCTGGTGAGCATTTTAAACCTCTAAACTTACACCTTCAACCTGACTCAACTTTTTCCAATCTATCAACAGATATTTCTTAAGCATCTGTTACACACAAGGCTCTTTTAAATATTCCTGAAAAGATAGGTAACCTACTTAAATACTTGGAGTCCTGATCTGTATCAAAATAGGGCAAGGCATATCACTACAGAGGCAGAATTTTCCCTGGCTTCCTAAGAGAAGCCAGCTGCTGGGTTTATGATCCTACAGTGATGGCATATGCAAGGAGTTTGAAAGGAAGAGGGAGGAGACGTGACATAAATAAACTTGGAAAACACTTTGAAGTCACCCAGCTGTCACTGTTCCTATTATTTAGTCACCAGATGCATTGGAATCATTATTTTTCCTCAACTTCGAAGTAGAAATACTACAGTATTCTTACCACCAAACACAAAGACTGATTTGATATCACCAATGATGTAGCTGCAGTGTAACTTATAGTTCTAAATAAAAATAAAATTCAAGGAACTCACGTATTAGCTGCCTTTGTTTTAGGTGGCTAATGTGAACATTTGCTCATCATAACTTTAGCGTCTGTTGTATTTGCGTTTGAAATATGTGCCCCAGTGAGTGTACTACTTAGCCATGGGGGAAGAAGTTTCAGAGAATTACACCATTTCAAAACATACAAAATGAAGCTATGCAGTGAAATGACTGATGGGGGTGGTGAGAAGAGTGAATGTAATTTCTAAAATGTTAAAGAAGTGATTTGAATTATTCTCATCTTTCTCATTTTCACTTCACCTTGTCTGATAGAGCATCCTGCCCCTTATCCTCCTCCCTCCTCTTGGTACTCATGGGTCCGCTTGGAGTTTTTTTCCCAACTCCTCTCTTCATCCCTTTCACAACACTTTCTCCTTCTGGGGGGCTAAGATCTAAGATTGTTCTTAAGGATGGGTAATCCCAGGAAAGGGAGATGAGAAGTGGGAAACTCACCTTTCTGCTAAATGGCCTGTATTTAGGAGACTGATGCTTGTTACGGTGTGCTGCTCCGTATTGTGTCCATTTAATAGCACATTGACATTTAGAATCTCTTCATTCAACAGATATTTGTGTACCTAATAAGAAGAAAATTTGAGAGCTTGTGTATATTTATTTATTTATTTCTCACTATAACCTATAAAGTAGGTATTATCGTTGTCTCCATTTTACTGAAAAGGGAAGTGAAGCATAGAAAGCTTAGGTAAGTTGTCTAAGGTGTCTCAGCTGGTAAGTGATAGAGCAAGGAAGATTGCCTTACATCTACTGGGTCAGTCTGCCTGGGTTTGAGAGGTTCCTGGGGTAGTCCCAGGAACACTGGGACAATTGGTCACCCTAGGTTGCTACAATCTGAAATTCACCTAACCTAGAATGCAGATTAATACCTCCCCAAGCCTAAATTTAACATCATATAAAAGGGTATATGTAATACATGCAAACTCCCTTCTATATATATTTTTGGCAGCTGTTCTAATTTCTTTTCCACTTGAATTACAGGTGCCTGTGTTTTTGTTCTGTTGTACATAAGGTCTCTGTGAGTGGGAACCGACTCGACGGCACTTAATATAACAGTGTTAGCAAAATAGTAAATTTAAGGGTTGGAAATTAAAAAGGGAAGTGAAGCAAAGGGGATAATAGAAGTTTTTGCAATGAAGCCTTGGAATTATAAAGAAGGAAAGAGAAAGGAAAGTCAATTTGGACCTTAACTGGTATTCTTGTGGAATCTGAGGGATGGGCAGGTAGGGGTGAGACAGCTTTAAAAGGGGAGGAGGAAGACAATGAACCTGAGTCATTCAATCAGAAGGTTTGGAACATGAGGAAGTGGGCACTTTTAACAACACAAAGTAATATACTTATAGCTCATTGAACGTGCAGGGGAGGTGTTCTTGCAAACGTTCTATCCCATAAGGATTAGTGAATGAAAATTAATTGTATAGTATCCATTTAAGACATATAAAATGCCATTGATAGAGTCTCTTTGGCATGCTATCCTTAGTGCTTTTGTTTAATAAATACAAAAATCATGCTTTCCTCATTTAACTATTTAAGTGCTTAACTCTATTATTGCGAATGCTGTAGGGAGAAGACTCCTGTTTCTCTCGTGTGTAGAATGTCACCTAATACACACTGAGATTGTAAACAAATGTTCTTTGATTGACTATTCAGTATTATTCACACTAAAACAAATAAAATAGCTAATATTTCTCAAATGCTGCAACCAGTGTCACAAAACAATATGTGTATTAATTGTTTAATGAGAAACTAATTTGCTCTGTAAACCTTCACCTAAAGCACACCCACACACACAAAAGTCCTAAGAAATTTGCATGTGTTAACTCATTTTATCCTCCAACAACCCTAGAAAGCGGTAGCTATTATTCTCATTTTATGGACAAGGAAACTGAGGCACAGAGAGGTTAAAACACTTTTCGAGATTTCTAGGAATTTGCAGATCTGGAACTCAAAGCTCAGACTCCAAAGCTGAGCTCTTAACTTCCTGTACTATGCTAGACAAGATAAATTACTCTCTGCCATGAACAAACACATAACATACTATCTCTCTTTCTATTGGTCGCTTCAGAACATCATTTTAGTCAAAATACTGCAGTGATTCGTTGATGTGGCTCATGTTAGTGAAATGATGTCTGCGACTTTACCTAACTGTTCCATTTTGAGCATTATAAATTATCTTAAAGATCATATTATAATTCATCTTTATACTGAAATTTTTGTAGTAGATTTTGTAGATTTTGATTCAGAGAGATCTTTTTATCTGATGCTATGCAAAAGAATAAATACATGTTTATCTGTGTGGCATTTTATGGTTTGCTAAACGTTTTAATGCCCTGTCATTTACTTAGCCTTTGGAACACCTCTATCATGGTTACTAGTAAACTTTATAATTTGCTTCTTTACAGAAAATCATTCTGCACCTCCTGATGTAACCACTTACACCTCAGAACATTCAATACAAGTGGAAAGACCACAAGGCTCAACAACATCGCGGACAGCACCAAAATATGGCAATGCCGAGCTCATGGAGACTGGGGATGGTATGTCTCAGAGCAAAGACTCTTCCTTCTTTGTAAACTCTAATCTCTGCTGACTCACCTTGCAATGCCCATGACTGGTTGTACTTCTCATAGATGCACTATAGATTCACAAAGAATTTAATTTATCAGATTCTTTATGAAGCTCCCATATAAGGTGACATAATCACGAAAAATGCAAATTGTCTCCAAGCTGGCAGAATTATTCCTTGTAGGAAAAATGTTAATGTTGTAGAAATGTAGTCATGAGAATAACACCTTTTCTGAAATTCTGGCTTTTTTTTCTAATGAATAAATAACGTTGGTTCAGCAATTCAGAAATTAGAATACAAGTGTTAAAACCAGGAACGATTACCTGGAAGGGCAAGATGACATTAAATGCAAATTGGTCAAATTGACAGATATGGTCAAAGCCCCAAAGTTACTCCATCCATAAACTATCCAGTTAATATGTTTGAAGTCATTCCAGTTCCAATATGATTGATTTTCCTTGAATGCCTTTCAGTTTCAGTGTTTGCTTTAGTTCTGCTGAATTCATTATTTGTTGAATTGGTCATCATTGTTGTTCTTATCATCATTATTTTAATAACTCTGTTGTCTTTGAAATTCATCATCTTTGCCTCTGTTCCCCAGGTAAGGATGAATCATCTTGTCTAGTCCAGTGTTTCTCAATGTGTGAAGGCCTCCTGCATCAGAATCATCTGGGGGCCCTTGTTAAAATTCAGATTCTGGGCCACGGCCTGGACTTACTGAATCAGAAGCTCTAAGGGTGGGTCCTGGGATGATTCTTATATACTCTAAACTAAGTTGGAAAACCACTAGCCTTCTGAAGTGAACTGTGATTCATTTGGACCCAGATAAAGTGGAATTGTTTAACGGAAAGCATTATGTTTAGATAAAGAGAATTCTGGAATGTGTATTTTTCTATATTTTCAAAAATTAAAATATTTAATTTAATATCTCAATTCTGAAAGTACCCACAAAGCATTTTAGACCTCCTGCTGAGATATTTTTATTTGATAAAAAGTTATCCTTGAATCCTGTCACAATTGTTCCAAAAGTTGCAGCCTGCGCTTTGTGATTCAATGCAGTGGAGAACAACTGCTCTGCCTCTGGAAATGTAAAGGGAAGGGATCTGAACTGGCCATTGTTTCTCAGATTCTGCTATAAATGTCCAATACCCATGTTGACCGAGTGAATGTTTCCCAGTGCCTTTCAGCAGGAATAAAACTTGCCTTCATAGAATGTGCTTTTGATCTGGCTAAGATTGCCAGCTGGTTGGTCCTCGCTCTTGTTCATTTATTTGGATTATTATTTTAAAATTCAAAAATGTCATTACTTTTTCAATTATTGATTCACTTATTCAATTTTCAAAATAATGTCACAATCACTACTATATGTAATAACTTTATTCGAACATTGGGGTTATTTTTCTCATTACACATGGATAAATATATGGTAATAGCCTGTGGTATATAAAAATTTGAACTTAAAGACTTTAATTGCTGGACTTCTAAGATGCTCTGCCTAAATATTCCCTAAAGTGACTGGAACACTGAAAGACATGTATTAATGCCTCCGCCTTTACTGGTAACAGAAAAGGGTGATTGTAAATCCTGAATTCATGCCTTTAGCTTCTCACTGAGGATCGCGCTTGCTTTCCTCAGGATGTGTTTGGGCAGCAGGAGTTAGTTGTCCAATAGTGAACTGTCGTCCAGATACTGAACATACCCATTTGTCTTATGCAAAACACCTGAGTGCAACTGCACCACCAGCATCTTCTTCCTGGCCTCAGTGAGGAAGAACACCAGTGGTTTTAAGAGAGACAGGGACTTGGGGAAGGAATGGCTCCAGCAGTTCTCTGACTCCTGTTGAGAAAGAGGCACCTGATACTCTATGTAGACGACAAATTCTGTTTTACAAATTACAGGAGAGATAAAGCCCAATACGTTGTTCACAGGCTTTTCCCAACAGAACAGTACATCTTATAGTTGTAATATAGAATTGTTTCTCCTATACCCCTGTCCTCTTCCACTGCTTAACATCAGGGCCTGTGTATTATGCATCTGTCTGTCCAGCGGAATGTCCATACTGGGCAAAGCCATCATTTAGGCCTCGTAGGTGGTACACAGTCATGAAGATATCAGCCTACTCTTGGCAACCCTAGAGGTGGGGCATCGAGCTCTGGTTTCATGGCCACTTCCATTGTGGTAGCTTGTTCAAACTGTGATAGTGCCTAAAAGTCAGTTCATCTAGCCCATGGTTCCTATTTTTCAGGAGTACCAGTAAGTAGCCGAGTATCAGCAAAAATTCAGCAGCTTGTCAATACCCTCAAAAGGCCTAAACGACCACCTTTACGGGAATTCTTTGTTGATGACTTTGAAGAATTGTTAGAAGGTAAAAGAACCCTCTACCCTACCCTCCGTTTTTACCATAAACTATAATATATTCATTTCTACCAAAGGCTATTATGTTTTTTTAAGGACAGTAAACTTGGCATTCACAAAGATGACAGGATCTTCAATAAGAAAATGTAGGTATTGCTCCCCAGTGTTCACTTTGAAGGTACTGATGCAGTTGGATAGACGTCCAAAAGTGATTATTTGTTACATTACCCTCAGCAGAACGTAATTTTGTTCTGTAAGCTAGGATTCTTTTTAAGAGCTCTATAAGACTACAGAAATGCAAGTAAGTCATCGAAAACCTTAGCTAGCAGCAAAACAGTTCCCTCTGAGTAAGTATGTGAAAGAGGGATGCAGAGTGAAACATGGTGTAGTGGATCTTCCCTTTTCCCAGCCCTCTTTCTCCAAGCGGGGGCCTAGTGTCTTAAACCATGAGTGCTTGCAAGCCTGCCAGCCTTTTAAAACAAAACAAAACAAAAATCTACTTATTATAGAAAACCCAAAGTACTTATTTTGTTATTCTTTATACCACTAGTAAGAAGTGACTGATTTTATAACCAGCAGGTAGAAATTGTCAATAATAAGCTGTTAAGAGAGAAACCTTTTCCAGAAATGGGAGAAATAATTTGTTTTTTACCTGTCTTAGCTAAAGATTGAGCAGATTGTATTTTATTATGAGGCGTTTATTTCTGTTTTACTCAAGAAAATATACTCCATGTGCTTGTTGTTCATAGTAGTTGTAGCAAATTTAAATTAAGTCTCAGTATCTAAGGGCAAAATATGATTTAGCAAAATTTGAGCCCTTTGGATTCCAAAATTATTAGTGTATGTTGATAATTGATGTTTTAAACATAGAGGTTTCAATTCTAGACTCTTGACATGTTTTTAAAATACATAGTTTTACCTTTTATCACTTTCTAAGTGTATTCAGCTATACTAAGTTCTCCATCCTGACATGGTCTTGGAAATATAAAAGATTAAATGCTTCTTTTAAATCCATAAGGCTAGTATACAGATCACAGTTCTGATTTTAGAAAAGCATATGTCCGTGCTTTTTGTCAGCTAATAAATTTAAGCCTTAAGCATTAACCTCTTAGTGTCTTTAAAAGAATTTTATAAGTAATTATGCTAATATAAATGTATTCTTTTGACAATTTTTGTATTGAAATTAGTTCAACAACCGGATCCAAACCAACCAAAGCCAGAGGGAGCCCAGATGTTGGCAATGCGTGGGGAGCAGCTGGGTGTGGTGACCAACTGGCCACCATCTCTGGAAGCTGCGTTACAGCGATGGGGGACCATTTCACCCAAGGCCCCCTGTTTAACCACTATGGACACAAATGGAAAACCACTCTACATCCTAACTTATGGTAATTATATGGGGTTATATTTATGTTTTGTTTATACCTATACTGTTCTGACTCTCCTTTATACATTTTACCAGTGTTTTTCTAATAACTTTTCCGGGGCCTTTTCTTTCCCTCAATGCTCAAATGGAGGTCTTTTCTCTCCTTTGTGTTCTCCTTTGTGCCATCATATACATCCAGAACTTTATCCTTCAATGTAAATATAAAAAGGTATGAAGGCATCTAACCTCAGCATCCAGCATAATGGCTGAGATGTAGTAATTTTTTTTTCTTCTTCTAAATTTTATTTGTTTTGTTGTTGAGAATATTCACAGAAAAACATACACCAGTTCGACAGTTTCTACATGTACAGTTTAATGACATTGATTACATTCTTCGAGTTGTGCAGCCATTCTCACCCTCCTTTTCTGAGTTGTTCTTCCCTCATTAACATAAACTCATTGTCCCCTAAGATTCCTATCTAATCTTTTGAGTTGCTATTGTCAATTTGATCCTACATAGACAGTTCTTAAAAGAGCATGATGCTCAAGGAAGACCTTCTTTAATAGTTAAGCTAAACTATTGTTTGGCTTTAAGATGACTTCAGGGGATATTTGTGGTGGAAGATTTAAAGATTTTCTCAGGGCAGTAGTTTCAGGGATTTATCCCACCTCCATGACTCCAGAAAGTCTAGAGTCCATGAGAATTTGAAATTCTGTTCTGCATTTTTTCCCTTTTAATCAGGTAGTCTTTGATCAAAATGTTCAGTAATGGTAGCCAGGCACCATAGAGTTCTGGCATCAGGGCAAAGGAGGCAGTTGTTCATGGAGGCAATTAGCCACACTTTCCATATCCTCCTCCTATTCCTGGCTCTCCTTCCTCTCTTGCTCCAGGTGAGTAGAGACCAATTGTTCTGCCTTGGATGGCTGCTTGCAAGCTTTTAAGACCCCAGGTACTACCCAATGAACTAGGAGATAGAACAGAAGCAGTAAACATGTTATTAGGCCAGTTAACTAGGATGTCCCATGAAACCATGACCCTAAACCTTAAACCAAGAAACCAGATCCCATGAGGTGTTTGGTTGTAC